TGCTGAAGGGTATTCTTTAAGAAGAGGAGGAAGAAGAAAAAGGAAAAGATAAAAAATTATGAACAACAAAGTGACAACAAATACAGATCTATTAACAAGTGAATCTAAAAATCAAATGAATAAAAAATCTGATGAACAGAATAAACTGGTGAATGTAATAGAATCAGGGGCCTGGAAATGGAGCAGACTGACAATTCTCGGGGGCGGGGAAGGGAGTGTGGGGGGAGTGGGAAGAGATTGGACAAAGATCTTATATGCATATATGCAGTATCTATGGACGCGGACAGTGGGGTGGTGAGGGCCTGGGGTGAGGTGAGAACCGGGTGGAGGGGAGCTATGGGGGGGAAAAAGAGGGACATCTGTAATAATCTGAACAATAAAGATTAAAAAATGAAAATTAGGTCTTTCCTTATTTAGCAGATATTTTCATAATGGTCAGCCCAAAGCTCCATCAAACAAATGAGCCCTGTGGCCAAAAGGCTCCAGATTGTTTGGTTCCCCAAAGTAAAATGATTTTTGATGCTAATAATAGAGAAAGGAAAGTTTATGTGAATTGGGAGAGCTCATGGAGTGCCAGTATTTTTCTTATAGGCTTAATACAGTTGTATTGTGATTGGTTTTGCTCCTGTGCCCAGTGACCTCATGATAGATGCATTTTACAAATACAATTAAGGGATACAATTGAGGGATACTATTTCAGAGTTCTTGTCTAGCATAGGGGTAAACAAAACCATGTCTTATCATGGTACTTCTCTTATCTATCACTTTTCTTGTTCGTTATATGCAAGGAATACCTTCGTTTTATGATTGTAATATAAAGTAGAAAGAGTGATGACATAATACTTTGGGGCAGAGCCTTTCTTAGAATCCAGCAACTTTATTTGTGGGCTTTAGCTCTCCAGGTTAGAAATACTTTGTATTTCAAAATTTAAAGGAAGAAAACTATAGTAAAATCATTGCAGGCTCTTCAGCCCTCTCTCCATTAGACATGGTCTGTCCATCTACAACAAAGGGAAAGCGCCTGATTGAAGCAGTTCTTTCTGAACTTCTAAAAACAAACCTGAAGAAAATGAAACAATCATCACTTATTATCAAGAGTTTATAATGCTTTCCACCCTGTGAAAAATACACAGAAATATGACATGGCTTCTGCTTGCAAGTGACTTATAATTAGGTAAAGACATAATATGAAAGAATTTTGATGAATTGTAGAAAGACATGTATCAGCATTCAGAGATATGTGGTAGGCTGTGAAAGAGAAAAAAACCCCATTATATTTGCAACAGACAATGTTTCTTGGGTTAGGTGGGTTTGAAGATGGAGCTTGAAGTATATGTAAGATTCAGAAAGGGGAAGAAAAAAGAAGCTATTTCTATTTCTACTTCACAAGTAAAGATGTAAATTTAGTTCTGTTTAAAAAACATTAATTAAGAATCTCTTGCCCGGCCACTGTGGCTCAGTGATTGAGTGTCAATGGTTTGATTTCCAGTCAGAGCACATGCCCAGGTTGTGGGCTCAATCCCCAATGTGGGGTATGCAGGAGGCAGCTGATCAATAATTCGCTATCACTGATATTTCTATCTCTATCTCCCTCTCCCTTCCTTTCTGAAATCAATAAAAATGTCTTTAAAAAGAGAATCCCTGTGCCAAGTGTATACTGGGCGCTGGCAATGATAGCATGTTTGGGAACTTGTCTGTACTCGGTTGCTAAGGTATTTTCACATATCCTAAAAGGTGAATAACTTGTGAGGAAATAAATACCTTGAAGGAATACTTATGACAGAAGTCCCTTTTGCTTGGTGATATAGAAAGGGACTGGTTTTTTGTTCCAAACTATAGGATAAGCTCTCGAAATAATTGGGAAAGCATAACATTGGTGCACACCTATCTTCCCCATCATCACTGACTTCCTATCTGGCATAGTTACAGATGCTTATCTGTATTTGATACCTAAAGGGCCTTGCCATATATAGACTGTCAACTAAGATATGATCTGATGATGATAATAAATTATTGCATTTTAATAAGAAAAGTAATATTATACTTGTCAGTCACTATGCTAATTATTTCCTATATATCATTTCATATAATCATAATGACCCTATGAGTTTTACTTAACATTATCTTCCCCAATTAAAGTGAGTAACTGAAGCTTAGGTTAAGTAACATGGCCAAGGCCACTTAGTTAGTATTGGCAGGAGTATGGCTGACTCCAAAGTCTGTGTTCCTAATCACTCTGCTATTCTGCTTTGTAATAGGGAGTTCTTGAATATCCAAGGGAAGGGAATGCATAATGGTGTAGTCAAAGCATTAGCACCAATATCTGTAGACAGGGCACTTGCCAGCAGTCTAAGCAATCCCATTCCACCAACTAGTAAGATTGGCAGGAGGCTAAGTACAATAGCATGAGGATAGTGTTTGCCTTCTCAGTCTTTGAGGGAATAAATACTAGTTAAAGCTTATGATCCTGACACATCAGAATGGACAACCTGGCAGGTGCCCTTGCTGGAAGATGACAAAATTGCTAAAAGACAGCCCTGTTTTCTCTCCAAAGATGTGACACTCGGGGACTTCCATTAAAAACATCACCAACCCTCTATCACTTTAATCTCTTCCTTAAGTGCCTGTGATCTTTTCCGGGGCACAGGTCCATGCATGGTCAATACCCAGTGGCCAGGTTTCTGAGCTGTGGGCAGGGGAGGCAGCCACTGTGAGGGCCTGGGAGGAGATGAGGGAAGAAAAGGTCACGCTTCCTGACAACTTATAACTTGATCCCACTTAGAAGCCATTTATTTCCAGAAATAAGTAATGGGCGAAGACAAAGGCCATTTCATGCACTTGAGAGTTTAAGGCTTTCTGAGATCAAATTACCACAGCAAACAGAGACAAAGTTACAGTAGGGACATTTTGGGGGAAGCAGAGAGGGAGAAGCCAGAGACCTAAGAAAGAAGACAGAAATAGAATGGGATGGAAGTTGCTTCCCACTCTGTACCCTTGAGGGAGCAAAGAGGACAAAGAAGAAGCAGCAGTGATAGGAGGAAGCTGGGAGCTTCTCTGGAATACAGTTGGTTAGGTTGGGGGGTGTTGTCAGCGAGGGTACTTGGCGGGTGGAAGGAGGGGATGTGGTAGTCCGGGCCTTTGAAATCTGGGTGTCAGGTTCATTGCCCTGGCCTCTTCGGCTCTCCCCTCAAGAAGGAAAGGATGCCAGACCTCAGGTCTTATGCCAGCTCTGTTCCAGTTCATAGCAAATGACCCACAGAGGAAGATGCTGAAAGTGAGAGGATGCTAGTGGACGAAGAAGAGCAGGGACATTTTAGTGAGTGCTTTTTGCATGTGGGGCAATGGATTTTAAACTGTGGAAGAGACGAGAGGGCCTGGATGGAGTGTATGCTCAGAACAGAGAGGCAGAGGAAATGGCAGCACAGAAAGGCTTCCTGTGATCCTCCTGCCCTCTTGCTCACTGAAGAGAAGTAGTTGTCTTTTTGTTGCCTCTGCAGCCATGTAAGGTGGAGTCTGAGGGGAACTGAAGCTCAGAGTGTATTTATGGAAGATGAACTACAGCCATAGAAATTGCTGGCTATTGTAAGGTAAATCCCAGCCTCCACATTTTGCTTAATAACAGCAGACTTTTCACTGCAAAGCATTAATGGAGTCGGAATTCCAGCCAGGCTTGAGAGATCAAGAGTAACTCTCTTGATTTAATGGTTTTGCAAGCTCTTGAAGACATTGTCATCCATTAAAGAAAAAGATTGAAATCACTCTCGAAAGAACAAAGAAAATGCCTTGGGTGACATGAAAAATATTTGAAGTAAAATTAGGAAAAGCTTGAGGAAAGAATCTCTTTAAAATTTTACCAGATCTCCCCCCTCCCCCCCATACACACACACTATGACCAAAAGGGGTCAAATAAGAGCCTTAGCCTGCAGCTTCCTGGGGCCAAATTTTTAAAGAGAGAATTAAAACCTGAAATATTGTTTCTTTGCCAAGGCACACACTGAAAGGAAGGGCCACATGGCTAGGGTCAGACTTGAGTGTTGAATCCCAGGATCCCAGTTTTAGGTTTGAAAGAAGACGGCACTCCCCCCACCCCCCGCCCTTGCCCTAGAAGTTTAACACTTTCTGCAGTACTTATGGTTTTCCAGGGAAAATGTTGGGGTCAGGCAAATAATCAACCCCCATCATCAGTAACCCTAGAGCACGCTCCCCGCCCCGTGCGTTTGTTTCCTTTTAATGTGGAGCCGCCATCCAGGTGCCCTACTCAGCTAAGGCCTTCAGTTTATTTTCCTAAATTGCGCTTGGAAATCTTTTCCTGGGGAGTGGAGACAGCTGCTTTTCCCACAATAATCTCCTTACTAGACCCGTTCAGCAGTCGAGGGGCCGTGGAGATTGGCTGAGCAGGACGGTGGGGGCAGGGAGAAAGGGAGTGGCCACGTTCCCGCGGTCTGCTGGGATCCGCTGGGTCCAGAGCGAAGGAGTTGGGGCTGGAGTGGCTGGAGCTACTGAGCAGTCCGCGCTGCCGCCGTTCGCTGTCTCGGTGCGGAATCGGACCCGGACCCGGACCCGGACCCGCAGAGCCCTACCCCCTCCCCTCTGCTTCCTTTCCCTCCCCCTTGGAGGAGCGGCGGCGGCGGTGGCTACTGGAAGCGAAGCCAAGCTGAGCGACTGGGCGGCGAGCAGAGGAGATGGGGTATGGGGAGTCAGCAGGGCGGCGGGGCGAGGAGCCCTCCGGAGGGCCTACGAGGGGAGCGGCCCCCGGCGTTTGCTAGCGCGTGAGCCGCGGGGAGCCGGCGCC